TATATATATATATATATATCGAAGCTGCAATGCGAGTCTGTCAGTAGCGTCGAACGCCTCCGGCACATTGAGCCGATGCGCACAGTGAGCGTGCAGCCACCTCAAGGGATGCATCGATGGCTCCGTGGAAACGGTGCTTGAGTCTTTCATGGTCAGAGCTTTGGACTAACTGTTTAGGGTTTAGGGTTTAGGGTGACTAATGTAGGGGCAATAATAAGTAGAATAGGGTTTTGGGGAATGTTCTAATAAAGTTATTATAAGGAACTCCTACAACAAGATTGGTAATTATCGTGAATCAGAGCATACATCCGGGCAGGTTGTTCTACATGATGAGGGTCCAATTTCGGGCCGCTTAGCAACTCTAACGGAGCAAATCCCCACAATGGACCACACTGTCTCGTTTCTGAGGCGGCTGCTGCCAAGGCCTCCGGCACAGTCTCCGTGGACCTAACATATGCTACAGGGGGCTACGCTCTAGAGGGTTGGGTATTTAGGGCAGTGAGCCCCAAGCCCTAAACCCCCTAAACCCTATAAGCCCTCAATCCTAGCAGCAGCTTCCCGACCCGAAGATATGCTAGATGGGGCTCGGTTTAACGGCGCTCAAGGCGTCACAACTTTCCGTGCGAACCGATCCAACAGCCTCCTTCCACCGTAGACTCCAGCACAGGCTCCGGCGGGCATCTCCACCCTCATACGGAACCCTTGCAGAACCTTACAAGACCTTACGCAAACCGAAAGCAAAACCTAGAGAAACCTTTTAAACCTACGCAAACCCTCTAAAACCTTGTAGAAGCCACCGGAAGTAGATGCCAAATAGTTTCATGCCCGAAACATGCTTGCTGGCCCTATACCCTGCGAGGTACGCACGATGTCTGGGCACAAAGGATCAGTGCAAAGACCTTGGCAAGTACGTCGGCGGCTTAGGGTTTCGGGTTTGGGGTTTCCAAGACTTCGTAAGACCACAGCCCATATCATATAGGTACATTTAGAATTGTACAGTACAGTACCGTACGGTACGGTACAGTACCATGAAGTACGATGCAGGTTCGTATCGTCTAGCCCAGTAGAGCATGATATAGTATCGTATGGTATCGTATGGTATAGTCTACTTGGTACAGTCTAGTATAACCTGGAATAGTCTAGTATCGTCTAGTCTAGTCGAAGTCTAGTCGAAGCATGGAAACACTGATGCATGGCATACTGTACTATATTGTACTCTACTATACTATGCAATGCTATGCTCTGCTACACAATACTATGCTGCAATGTAGTGTGCGATACTGTACTGTGCATGGTAGGACTGGGTTGTTTTTGCTTGTTGATCCGCTGGCCTTTTCGCACTGTTTGCTAAATTGTTTGCCGGCTTGATCTAGTTGAGTGCCTCCGCCAACATCTTAGTATAGTACATACATAGTATAGATAGTCTCGTGTAGTATAGCAGAGTACATCGTACATAGTGCATAGTAAATGACAGTATATGTAGTATGCAGAATCTAGAATATAGTGTCTGGCATAGTATACATTGTTATGGTAAACTTTGATTCCTGCACAACTGCTCGACACCCTTAGACCCCAAAATCCTAATCTCCTAAACCCTACACCCCGAAATGTCCAAAACTCCGAAACCGAAGACTCCACACCCCAGAACCCCAAACCCCCGAAATGAAAGACCCTAGACAATTAGAATAGGGTTTTGGGGCCCTTTCCCCCACAACAGTATTGGTAATTGTTTAGGCTTCTATACTAATCCAACTGAGCAGGGGTGCATTCTCCGCCTGGAGGCTTTCTTTCGCCTCGGTGAGCCGCGACCTCGCTTGGTGTTTAGAGCTTAGGGTTTAGGGGTTTTCTTCTAGATCATGGGGCGCAGGACTCCGAGTTTCGAGTGTGGGGTTGTTTGAGTTGGGCATTTAGAGCATTAAGATTTTTCTGGGTTCTCTAAGATGTTCTTTCAAGGACGGGCTCTCAGGGTTTTACAAAACACCTTCACTGGGGTTGCAGAGACTTGACATCTTCAACAACGACATGATGACGGCGGCGATGGCAAAAACACCTATAACTTATGACCATTGCAATCTTGCTGTATCTGCTGCTAAATCCTAAACCCTAAACCCTAAACCCTGATGATGGCGGCATTCACGTCGTGTTGCGTATTCTCTCTGCTGCTGTTCTCCTTTGTAAGAGCCGGGCCTGCACTTCTTGGCGCACTGAGTTTAGGGTATAGGGTTTAGGGTTTAGAATATGAGTACAGGGTTTAGGGTTTAGGGTTTAGGGTTTAGGGTTTAGAATATGAGTACATGGTTTAGAGTTTGGAGTCTTCATGGTGGGACATGAACCGGGTCTCCTCCAGCGAGGACTGCTGCTGGTCCAGTTGCTCTTGCCTCCGCTTCTGGCGTCTTTCCAGCTGCAACCGGCCGGCAGCGGGACAGCTTTCGCTAATATAGGGGCCTTAATAATTAGAATAGGGTTTTGGGGCCCATTATACTATAACTAGAATAAGGAACCCCCAAAATAGTATTAGTTTGTGCCTGCTCATCACCTCACGGTACTGGCTCCCCAACTGGGAGTCCTCCTTGAGGGCCGAATCGGTCGCGCACCTCGCCTAGACCAGCCGTCCGTCCCCAAAGCCTTTGCTGCGGCGATTCATCATTTAAGATACTATAGATTGCTAAATATATTAAATACTACTATACCAGTATATGCTGGGCTGGAGCCTAAAAGCCCTACATATGTAAACCCTATCGATCCTAAAACCTCACAGCCGAACAAAAACTACATCCATCCCAAACAGGTAGGGCCCCTGCCACAGAGGGGGCACACGGGCCGCCGTAGCCACCTGCGCTCAGAAGACGAGGGGGCCTGCTATAGTAGTTTTATCGCGTCCTACAAGGGTTGACAAGATTCATGTACGAAGTTGCAGAGATTTTTCTAGAGCCTTTATAGTATCTAGATTCTTTTGTTCCGGGGGTCCTTAAGAGAAGCATCTCACTACTGAGAGATCTAAGTTTGCTGTCACGCATGTGCGGGAACTCGCATGAGAACAACGGCACGAAGAAAACATCTGCAATCAAACACTGGGCAGAACGATGGCAGGACTCAGTCGTGATGACGGCAACTGTATATAGTAGTATTATGTAATATTATGTAGTATTATGCAGTTGCAGTATCATGCAGTATTATGCAGTATTATGCAAGATTCGTAGCCTCTTGGTGATGGCAAGAGAAGTCGAGGGAGGGAGCGGCAAGGAGAATAACGATGATCACCTTCATTGTGGTTTTGGGTTTAGGGTTTTAGGGATCATCATCCTCTTCGCAAGAGGCCCTAAACCCTGAACGTTAAACACAAGAACGGTGAAGCCCACTTCTTTGGTCTAAGGTCAGTCTATGCTTGTGCCTAGGGTATTCATCACGACAAGGAGGGTGGCCGCATGTTGCACAACTGGTGATAACTGTTGCCTGTCTCTTACACGCACTGCCCCAAATCCCTAAAACCTAGACTAAAAACCCCAACTAACCAGGGTTCCCCACTTCATCCTCAATCCTGATCGACCTTCCCAGAACATGAGCTTCCCGAAGCTGTCACCGAAGATCCCAACAGAACTGCGCCGCGCCTCTTGCAGCCAAGTGTTCAAAGCGGCCTCAGAGTTTGGGATGACTGCTACAGAAAAACAAAGCAAACCTAGAGGCCTTTCACTTAAGAGAGTAGGGTTCAGGGTTTTACCTGTAGCCGAAAATACCTACCTTTCTAAGGTTCCTTATTATGGCTTCTTTACATATACATATATATATATATATATACATAGATAGTTCCTTAAAGAGGTAGGTCTTTTGGGCCGCAGGTAGGGGTTGTCCATCAGACTAGTCTAGGGGTATGGGAATTTATACGAGGGCCCGACGGTGGAGAAGCTTCCGGACTCGAAATCCTTGCGCCAGGCATCCTGACCAGAAGAGCCCCGGCATGTTGCAGTTCCCAGGTCAGGAATGGCTTTAGGTCGTTATAAACCTAAACCCTAAAGTTTACAGGTTCTATAAACCCTGCAAACTCTAATATAAACCCTAAACCCTAAACTTTACAGGTTCTATAAACCCTGTAAACTCTAATCTGGGCCCCATTTCTGCCAGCCGGAGCCTGAGTGATTAAGGTTACGGATTCAGGTGTTGTTATGCCGCATCCGTGCTGGCTGCAGGATAAAGGCGCTTGCACCTGGGAAGGGTATAGTTGCGAAGCCTCGCTGCTTTAGTCACTATTTGTGTTTAGGGTTTAGGGCCGTTTAGGGTTAAGGGTTTAGGGGTTTAGGGGTTTAGAGTTTGGGGTGTAGACCAACTGTGTGCACTGTACAGATCTCACGGAAGCCGGAGGACATTCAGAAGGCGATTTCCAAACCCCAAACCCTACACTCCCTAAAGCCTTGCCCAGCCGAAATCCTGCTGCCAAATCCTCCTGCTCAGACTCCGAGACCTAAAGGGGTTCAAAGGGGCCTTAGCAATTGCCTATACTACTTTGGGGAATCCTTACTATAACTATAGTACAAGGGGCCCTATTGAGGCTCCTACATTAGGTTTCTCTTGAAAAAACACTTGGAAGGGTTTAGGGTTGAGGGTTTACCCATAGTCTTCGTTGTAGCTCCCGTTGCTGGTTAACCAGTCTTATTACTATAGGACTGTAACCGTAAGATCTAGTTCTTGGCAAAAAGAGATCTACAATGGAGACTACAGGTAAGCCCTATAAACCCAAAGTCCGAAACCACCCTAAACCCTAAACCCTAAACCCGAAACACTGACCTTTGTAGGGGAAATCCCGGTTCTGCCTGGCTCGTGGGCCCTTGAGCGCAGGGCTGGGATGCCCGGACGAGTAAGGACCTGTACTTTGCGGGTTTAGGGCGTATGGAGTGCTGTTCAGGATTTAAGGTTTAGGTTTAGGTTTCAGGGGTTAGGGTTGAAGGTCTATAGAGTTTAGGGCTAGTAGGGGTACACGGATGGCGATTTAAGATTTAGAGTCTAGAGTCTGTTGTGGCTTTGGGCTTAGGGCTTGGAGTCAGAAGAGTCACTTCGGCCTGTTCGGGCATGAGGCTATTGGGGTTTGTGGATCTCAGGGTTTTGGGGGTGTAGGATGGGTTTAGGGTTTTATGGTTCAGGGCTTCTGTGCCGGTGCCGGGCTTCAAGCCTTTGCCCTTCGGCGCTACATGGGTAGTTCTCTAAATTAGGCCCCCTTTTATTGTTGGGCCCCCAAAATATCACGGCACCCGTATCAAAAGGGCCTATAACAGGCAGGGACCCTGATTTAGAGAACTACCCCATGTAAAGTTGGGGGCATGTCAGGGCGACAGTCTCTGTTAGGCTTGTTCGGGTGCTCGCTGCTAGATTGCATGGTCGGAAAAAGAGTCACCACGGTTTGCTTGAGAGCACAAAGGAAAGGTGCTGCAGCATCATTTCCATGCTTGGGACTTACTTTCCCCCTGCAAACAACCTGAAACCCTATAAACCCTAAACCCTATAAACCCTAAACCCTAAACCCTAAACCCTAAACCTGACCTGCACTTTCGATTGACCTGGCGGAACCTGTTTGTAAAGCTTGAAGGCCCAAGGTGTAGGTAGTATTACTAGGGGTACCCCTTTTAGGGCTTAGGGTTTAGGGTTTAGGGTTTAGGGTTTAGGGTTTAGGCTCTCTTAAAGGGGACCTTATGGAGAGGGTCTATATCCCCAAAGGTCCCCCTAATCCTAGCTCCCAAGGTGTATCTAATAAGTTTTTTGATGGATAACAGGGCGCCGACCACGAGGTGATGGGGCTTCCTGTGGTGCATGTGAGACTTCAGTGACCTAAAGGGTCCAAGTAACAGTATAGTATATACTTTGGGGGCCCGCCTAGCCACGAAGTATCTACTATATTGGTAATATAGGGGCCGTCATAATTAAATTTGGGCTTTGGGGTATACATTACACGACAATTAAAATGAGGAACCCCCAAAACCCTATTCTAACTATTTAAGGCCCCTACATTACTGTGGACCCGTGGGGACTTAGCTGCAAAACCAACAATGTAGGAACCTGATTAAGAAACCCTGGCCCTATAACCCCAATATATTCGGGTTCATATTAAGAACCCAAATAAAGGCCCAGGGTTTCTTAATCAGGTTCCTACCCTAAGGGTCCATGTACCCATATAGCATATACTTAGACCCCAAAGTACCCAAATAGGAACTACATTAAGGCCAATGTATATACTATATGAGTACATGGACCCTTAGCTCACTGGCCCAAAACTTTCAGAATCGATTACCTTATAAGAACCCCAAAAGTTGAAAAGTTGAGTTTACAGCCAATAAGTTAGGGCTACATTAGCCAGGATCCGCACGCTGTCGGCATCGCCGCCTCACCCTCGAAGCGGAGCACCACAACCCGCCTCTTGCAAGGTTTAGGGTTTAGGGTTTAGGGTTTAGGGTTTAGGGGTTTAGGGTTTAGGGTTTAGGGTTTAGGGTTTAGGGGTTTAGGGTTTAGGGTTTAGGCGCTGGAAGGCTTTAGACAGCTGCTTTGTGGGGTCTTTCAGATGTTAGGGATGTGCAGGTGTAGGGTTGGGGACCAGCGCTATTTCTGGAGCATGATGTTCTGGAGATAGGGTTTAGGGTTTAGGGTTTAGGGTTTAGGGGTTTAGGGTTTAGGGTTTAGGGTTTAGGGGTTTAGGGTTTATTGTCAACGGAAAATAGAAACCAAAATCGACGAGTGCTTGAGGAGATCCATGCTGCAAACGAACTTGAAAGCTGAAGTGCCAAAGGCCATTCGGCTCAGCTTAGCATTCACTGTCATGTTTCCTTGCGAATGTTGCAAAGTTTATCCCTTCGTCCTCTTTGGTTATTGGGCCAAAGATCTCCTTGCTGCGAAGCTGCAAGAAGAGTTTGGGCTCTCTCAGGCTCAAGCTTAGGACTTTCGTGGGGTTTTCGGAGGCTTCGGGTTGAAGTTTAGAGCTGAGCGCTGCAGCGGAGATCAAATTGGCGGGATTGGCTTGTTCCGTTGAGGGTTTAGGGTTTTTGCAGCTTTTGTCACTGTGGCTGGGGAGTGCAGTAATTCTTTTCAGAACTAAGGCGAGTACGAAGTCCACAACAGCAAACCCTTGGCGGCGTAACTGGAGATTCGCATAAATAAACCCTCACACCTGATAGTAAAGCCTAAATCAAACTCACACCCTACATCAACCCTAAACCCCAAAGAACCCTTCCTGGACCCGAAATCAAGCCAGAACCATGAATAATATTTTTGCCGTAATACCCACCCTACATTCTGAATACACCCTAATCCTAGCCTAAGCCTTTAGAACAGCCCCGGGTTCACGACCTAGGCTGCAGGAGCCGCTCCAGTAGTTGCAGCCTCGATCTTTTCTAGGGCATAGCCAGAGTTCTTGCATACTGCTTTGCAAGGGTTTGGGGTTTAGGGTATGCATAGCAAAACGGTGCTTTTGTTTCGATAATCCATACTAGAGACATGCTGCATGTATCCACCAAGCCGCAACAAACATGATAGCCTAATCCTAACAACTACTCTGCATGTGATCAACAACCATCGCACATCCAACCGGACCAACTGAAGTGACAGCTGCCTCTTCCTGACACATTTGGCCCGGATCAAGTACGTCTATAGTTCGAACGGGCGCAGACGTCCGCTGAGGCCACGGCAGCTGCAACACTGAGCCCAAGCGGGTGCCGTACCTGCTGTGGATACTGCGACATGTCAAGGACACAACCAGTTGAAGAAACAGTACGAGCTTCGGGGAGTGGCATTTTGGCTTGGGGTTCGCAAGGTTCGGGGGTCCTGGTCCTGAACTAAGAGCAACAGAAACACACAAAAACACTCCCACTCCCATGAGGTAACTTGAGCCTCTGGGCCGCACCCCCCGAGTCGCACGTAAAGAGACAGAAAAATAAGATTGAATAAGCGGTCGTCTTGGCGGTGACAAAGGCAGACAAGGAAGATCCGACTTTTGCGGCCTGCTGCGTCGCCTGCCAGGCAATCATCGCTCGCGGCCGCGCTGGTCCCTGTTGATGTCTCTGCGAACACGATTGTCACTGTTTGCAACTGCATGAGCAGAGATGTCCACATTGCCTCGCAGGCTGTCCATTTCGCGTAGAATGTAGCCTGGCTCGGCACAAACAGCGCCGGGCAGGCTTGCATGAAAGTCCGTCCAATCCATCCAGAAATCGCTGCGCCGTCGGAGGGTCCAGCTGTTGGGTTGGCTAGCCACAGCTACCTTCCAGCCGCTGTGGTGCACATCCAGAATGACCTTAGCAAAATCTGAATCGTCCGAGATGATGCACACAGTGCCACAGGAGGTCTCTGCTGATATGGGAGCCACTAACCTCAGCAGATCACGCACAAGGAGGCAGTCAGCGGCTTGCGGCTCTGCGGGCGTGATGGTCACGGAAGCAGGACTTTGCTCTTCCGCACCATCTTGGACCAACTTCATGCGGACCCCATGGGGTGCCTTTTCTTTGAAAGCCTCCAGGAAATCATGCAAGTCTTGCGACCAAGCACTCGCAAGTGCCGACTGAAGGATGTCGTAGTCGTGCCGGCCCAGGAATTTCACAGTTTTGTAGCTTGCATACAGGTGAACAGCCTGCGGGCAGGTGCGGAGGAACCTCTCCTGAAGTGCGACGACGGCAGTTGCCAGGCTGACGTCTGGCGGCAACTTCCTTTTCAGGCTCAAGCTCTAAATCGTGGATTTTGTAGGATTAGAGTATCGGGTTTAGGGATCAAGGTCAGAAAATATTGGAGAAATCTAGAAGCTCTAAACCCACGCCGCACATTTCGGCCTCTACCTATAGGGTTACGGGTTACCTTTTAGGATCCAAGAATGTAACATTGGTGAAACCCCCAAAAACATCTACAATGAAGACTAAACCCTAAACCCAAACCCCTAAACTCTAAACCCTAAACCCCACCCCTACACTCTAAACCCTAGACCCCAAATACTTTCCTCGTGCAGCAGGGCGTCTTGTTGTCCAAGTCCCAGAAGACAAAAATGGGCCCGGGGAGATCCTGCAACAAGAAAAGGCAAGGCAACGTCAGAGGAATCAGGGTTCAGGGTTCAGGGCTTAGGCTCTAGGGTTCAGGGTTTAGGGGTTCAGAGTTTAGGGATTAGGGCTTAGGGACTAGAGTGTAGGGATTAGGGTTTAGGGTTCAGGTTTTAGGGTTCAGGGTTCAGGGTTTAGGGATTAGGGTTGATGGATGAGGGGTCTAAGAGTCTTTGGGGTATGACGGGGCGCATTGCCACATGCGGTTCCTTCTAAAATCGGGCCCAAGGGAAGGTCTAGAATATTCTCTGATGGAAGCTTACTTCCAGAAAACCTCGTGGGCTCTCGTAGAGCGAAGCTACCTATTTGGTTGGTAGATATTGAAATTAACAAGTGCCGTAGGCCGTCGAGAGGATCCTGCATTGATTGAAGCAGCCCGCACTCCCACCCAACTTTCCCAAGCATGTATACGCCAAATTCGACGCTTCCCACAGTCTCTCAAAGCTACTAATCCGTCTGTGAGGGTCACAAGGAGCTAAGGGTGCAAGGATTGTCATTGATCTGCCACTGTCACGAAGAAATTTGCCTCCTCCTCCGGATCAGACGATGGGATCGAATCCTCCTGGCTGAGGTTTTCGTGAAGTACCCTAAAAAGTCTTGGAAGTTTGAAACCCTCGCAGCCTTTCTGGGAGGGTTGGGTATCTTAAGTTGGCTCTGGCTTGGTGTTGGAGGTGACAAGTAGATCGCATGAAACACGAGACTATAGCAAGAAGGCGCAGTGCTCAAACAAAAATTATAGAACTAGGCATCTCCGGCAAATTCAGTGACATGCTACAAGCTTAGCGATGAAGTCTTCAGGCTGATATCAAAACTTCCCTGCCGCAGCTGAGCTTAGATTCATGCCCTTTCCGAAGAATTGAAGACTGAGCTGCTGAGCTTTCATGTCAAACGGCCTTTGGGGCGTCTGCGAAACGACTTCGGCGCCGCCGCCGGGCGTGTCTGCAAACCCTCCACCTCACAAAAGCTGTGACAGCTATGATGATGACACCAAAATGAAGTCTGTCACCAGCTGCTCACTAGCACCAACACCACTGCGCGCACCACGGCTGCAAGCAGCCGCAGCATGGTTATGATCATCATGGCGAAACCCACAAAATTAAACATAATCATCGCAAATGTAATCTTAATCGTCTTGATCATGGCCATAACCATCGTCATCGTCACAACCGTCAGCGGCAGCATCATCAACAACACCAGCATTCTTCCCATCGTCGTCATGGCCACTATCTTCGTGATCGGCACCGTCGTCCCTCGCGTCAACACTATATGAGGGCCGTTGCCTGTAGGGCGGCTGCACTTCCCAAACCATTTCCTTGAATCTTAGTTTTTCATGAAGTACATACCGATGGTGTTGTTGTTGATTGCTACTGAAAAGAAACGAAGCCCAACAGTCTTGTTCTCAAGCAGATCAAGCTGAATTTCTGACATGGTTAGGTACGCATGTGTCGTTTGCTCTGGGCTTTGCTTTCAATTGCCCTAAATCCCCCAAACTTCGAAACCCCCAAACCGTTGAGGCCCTAAATCCCCCAAACTTCGAAACCCCCAAAACCCTTCAGGCCCTAAATCCCCCAAACTCCGAAACCCAGAAACCCTGAAACCCCAACATCCAAGGAACGAAACCCCCAACATCCAACGAAACCCACCTGTGCCACGCCCTCCTGGGAAGCGCCAAGGACAGGGAGGAGCCGAGAACAGAAATTCCAGGAAGGCTCCGGAAATCTCCGGAAAAGAGGCCCCATGGAGTGTGGGGCCTTTCCTGGTAGAAGGATGGGCCGAAGCTCGGAGAGGCAGCTGTAGCTCGAATTCCATGGGCTTTCATGACCTCTTGTGTTGGGATGGATGAAAGATTTAAGATGTCGGTTAAAGGGTTTAGGGCATTGGTTGGTGACTGAACATGTCATGAGCTGATATTGAGAATCGCTGGGAGCTGCGAAGCTTGTAAGCGCGATGCAGCTGTCGAGCAACAGCTTCAACCCTAAACCCAAACCCTAAACCCTAAACCCTAAACCCCTAACCCCAAACCCCAAACCCTAAACCCCTAACCCTAAACCCCTAACCCTAGACCCTAAAGAGTTGCTAGTTACTTGTCCCCAGGTCCAGGTCTGAGCCAACAGGTTTCCACGGAGCCACGGAGACGGGCGAGTACTATCTTTATAGTTACCCTATGCTTCCAAGGACCCTATAGTTACGGCCCTGGACCCCTTAAGGACCCAATAATAAGGTCCCTGGAAGCACAGGGTTAGACATCATTGGTGCTTTTCAATATGAACTCAATAAGAGCGAAATAAAGCTATATACCGGACAGTGTAAGGGATACTATACTGGCTACCATGCTGCATTAGCTACTATATAAGGGCTACTATGAGTTTCACATTAGATACTATGAGGGTGCCTACAAAGGTTACTACAAGGCATGATGAAGGAGAATACTCCCAGCAAGACAGAATGTGTCAAGGAACACAACGCACGCAAAAGCAAGACCCTGAGGCGGCGGACTTGCTTCTCAGATGCGCCCAAAAGCGCCTGGGCAGTCGAAAGCAACTTCGTTCTACCTCTCCTGTACTACTCACGATTGCTTCAACTTGCAACTGGCCTGCGCATACTGGTGCAAAGTCCCATGCAATGCCAGGATGCCCGACTGCAGAAGCTTGCACAGAGAACGGGGTGGCTGAGTCTGTAAGGACCGGGTGAGATAACTTATTTGTGTAAACCTCACCACATGTAAGGCCTTGCGAACCGAAGTGGCCGAGATTCTGTTGCAGAATGTCTGCAACTTCGGGAACTGCAGGGAGACTCTGTGAGAGAGTTTCACCACCTCTGGTGGTGAAACTCTCTAACATAAGAGGCTGTCTGCAGTTCATGTAGCTCCCCAACTACTACCTTGTGGACTCCTCGTGCTTCATCTTCTCCTGTATCTCTTCTGCAGCTTTCTGAGCCTCCAGCTCCTTATCGAGGCCTCACGGGCAGGTGCTCACATCCATCTTCAATGTAATAGAGGTATCATCGCTGACCTGCAGTTGTCGATGCAACTCCTGCCCGGTCTGATGCAGGGCTGCATGGGCCCTTTCCAGCTCGGTGTGCAGCTACTCCCAGCTCTGCGCTTCTCGCTTCTGACTACCCCTTCCCCTTCATGTTCTTCTGCTGACTCTCCGTGCTCTGTCCCTCAGGCGGGGCGCGCAACTCCATGAACAAAGGTTGGGTCACGAAACTCTTAATTCACACCCCCTTAGCCCATGGTGGAGCATGTACCAGGTCTCCTCGAGCGCAGACCGAGCCGGTTAGTTCGGAAGGCTGTCTTCTTAGGCCTTCCAGCGGGCCTGAAACAAATTCGGTCGGGTGAGTCCTGGTTTTTTTCGGTCGGGTTCCCGGTCCCGGTTCTTCCTCTGGCCATGGGGGACCTCCAGACTGGGACCTGTCGCAAACTTCAACACGGACACAACTGGGTGGGACAGGGACCCGTTGCAAAGGGAACAGCTGCACAGGCCGGGACCTGTAGTACACAGAGCTCGAGACGCAGCACATAGGGGGACCTGCGGACTGCGACTTGTGGTGGTGCAGCTGCCAAAGCAGGGACCCGTGGACCGGGATCTGTGGTAAACAGATCGAACAACAGCGCAAAGGGGGACCTCCTGACTGGGACCTGTCGCGAACTTAAACACAGACAGCGGGATAACTGAGTGGGACTCAGGGCGGACAGCGAAACAACCTCACACGGGACTTGGCCGGCGGACTGGCAGGGCTGCACGCGGGACCAAGGCGGCCAACGGGACCTGCGGCCGGGACCTGTAGTACACAGAGCTCCAAACGCAGCACATAGGGGGAGCTGCGGACTGGGACCTGTGGTGGTACAGCTGCCACCCGGACCCAGATCGGGAAACATAGGGACCTGCGGACTGGGACCCGTGCTGGGGCGGTGGGGCGGACAATTCCTCTGGCCATGCCACACAAAGGGGGACCTCCTGACTGGGACCTGTCGCAAACTCGAACACGGACAGCGAGACAACTGGGACCCGTTGCACAGGGAACACCTGCACAAGGGGACCTGCGCCCGGACCCCCGCGGACTGGCAGGGCGGACAGCGGAACAACCGCGCGCGGGACCTGCGGCCGGGACCTGTGGACACAGAGCTCGAGACTCAGCACATAGGGGGGCCTGCGGGCTG